AATCCAACGCACTAGCGTGCAAGAGAAGCTCGTAGCATCATCAGCTTCAAAGACTTGGTGGAAAAACGGGATTACCGTAACCAGCACGAACTACAAATGCTCCCTTAAGGCGCATTCATAGTCGGTTTCTGATCGTAACGATCGCAAAGCGTCAGATGCGTATTGATCGTCCAACCTTGGAGGCGTCCACAATCGATACGCAACCAGAGCAGTGCGATCGTTACGATCGGACATCCAACCATGAAGGCGCCCTTAGTAACACATACCACTCCAGAAGCAAGAATCAACGTTGAGGAATGATGTGAGGAATACGGCTTACCTGCTTGCGAATGATGGCACACGCAATAATGCCAGCGAACAGCATGACACACCAAAACAGGCAGAACGTCATCACAAGAATACCTCCTTCGGAGTTGGCGAACAATACGACCAGCAAGATAATAATAGATAGTGTCATCCAAAATGCTACCAAACGAGAATATAGGGTTGAAAAGCTGAAAAAAAAGTTCAACATTAAAAACATACGAAGCACGCAATAAGTGAGAACACCTAAGTGAGAATAATGAAGTATGACATGACTTCAAACAAAATTATATTTCTAAGAAAGAGGACGTGTACGGCATCTCAAGATGAAGCACTTCTGGGCTCGAGAGCAAACTTTTAGTTCGAGGCGTAGCGTGTGTGAGAACAGCGCATAATTTGTGATCGCCAGCTGTTAGGCTGGTGTCAGAGTCCGCGATCCGTCGCAGGTTTCGCGCGACTCACTTGATTTACGCGACGGTCACGGCAAGTGCCCGATCAGTACTGCAAAGTGTTCTCCAATGGCTGAATAGATGGTGATGGCTGAATATCGCGGGCTCTGTCAGCAGCCTTCTCCAATCACAGATGCGCTTCGCAGTATTCAAGCGAAGAACTACTCCTCGACGCGATTTCGCAAATATTGCTACTCTGTCTCTGCCGTAAGGCGCTTCATAGTCGGTTCTGGTCCTAACCGATCGCGAAAGGTGTAGGCGATGTCATAGTTTTGCGATCGAGCGATGTCGCTGCGAGTCGCTCCGATCCGAGCGTTGCCGCCGCGAATTGACGTTGCAGCGAATCGACTTTTGTGCCGGTCGACGTGTTCAGCGGAGTCGAATAGTAAGCGACTCTGTGGCGGACAACTGTTAAGGAGTCGGCCTTCAAACAGTGCCCACTGTCAGCTCCCGCCACTTTCAAACAGCGTCCACTGTCACGTGACACTGTTTGAAAGTGGCGGGCTTCCTTTGAAACGTTGGGTCCCGCCACTATTGAGTCGCTGGTACCTAGTTCGACTCGCTGGTACATCGTTCGACTCGCTGGCGCAAAGTTCGATTCGCTGGTGCAACGTTCGATTCGCTGGCGCAACGCTCGGATCAGCGATTCGCTAGCGAATCGCTCGATTCGCAAACTATGACATCGCCTTAGATCGTATGGGAGCCGACAGTACCCGGGCCGAAAGAACAAAATAACCTGAGAAGCCCTGTATTGAATGTCTCTCCTAGGCCATGAGTGAACAAAATACCTAAGAATAGTTATTGAACAACATGGGATCGTGAAAAGGTCGAAACCCCGAAGCCCACCTCAAATGTCCCATTTGTGGTACTCAATAGCGCAATCTACCTTGAAGAATACCGTGAATACGTGCTGTTTTCCGTAATAGAACACCAAAGCGCATGCACTGAGTCATGTTATATTTGCTACCGGAACCATCAAATTCCTATGGCTTGACTGTTAGCCGTTAGCACTGACGAAACAAAGAAATCCATGCGTCATCAGGCAAACACTTGCCAAACGCGCCGTCAAGCGAAAGCTACAACCACTCGTAAAGTCAATGAAGCTTCCAGACAGGGGAAAGAATAGAAAGCAAATGAACAGCCTATGTTGTAGCCTGAGCCTACCTGAGCCAAACCAAGACACAAGGATTATTGCGAAAGGCTAGGTTAGGAAAAGAGCGCACGGAAGAGTGAACTATTTATTATGAAACGCCAAAACCCCTTCTTGCGCAGAGAGATTGCTTCCCCACACCGGAGCTACTTTTAGAATTAGGCAAAAATACTCATCTCTTTACTCACAACTGATTCTCCACACCATCCAGTAGCAAAAGTCATAAAACATGTGAAAAATCCAACGCACTAGCGTGCAAGAGAAGCTCGTAGCATCATCAGCTTCAAAGACTTGGTGGAAAAACGGGATTACCGTAACCAGCACGAACTACAAATGCTCCCTTAAGGCGCATTCATAGTCGGTTTCTGATCGTAACGATCGCAAAGCGTCAGATGCGTATTGATCGTCCAACCCTTGGACGCGTCCACGATCGATACGCAACCGAAGCTATGGGATCGTTACGATCGGACATTCAACTATAAAGGCGCCCTTAGTAACACATACCCCTCCATGAGTAAGAATCAACGTTGAGGAATGATGTGAGGAATACGGCTTACCTGCTTGCGAATGATGGCACACGCAATAATGCCAGCGAACAGCATGACACACCAAAACAGGCAGAACGTCATCACAAGAATACCTCCTTCGGAGTTGGCGAAACATACACGACCAGCAAGATAATAATAGATAGTGTCATCCCAAAATGCTAACAACGAGGAATATAAGGTTGAAAAGTTGTGAATAAAAGCATGCAACCATTAAAGCATTGCGAAGCCGGCAATAAGTGAGACGACACCTAATAGAGCAATAATGAAGCTTTATGACATGACTTCAAACAAAATTATATTTCTAAGAAAGAGGACGTGTACGGCATCTCAAGATGAAGCCACTTCTGGGCTCGAGAGCAAACTTTTAGTTCGAGGCGTAGCGTGTGTGAGAATGGCGCATAATTGGTGATCGCCAGCTGTTCGGCTGGTGTCAGAGTCCGCGATCCGTCGCAGGTTTCGCAGGTTTCGCGCGACTCACGTGATTTACGCGATGGTCACGGCAAGTGCCCGATCAGTACTGCAAAGTGCTCTCCAATCCTGCCACCACTTCTGCTTGATGGTGATGGCTGAATATCGCTGAGCTCATGTCCAGCTTTCTTTCCAATTCAGCAGATGCGCTCGCGCTTATCAGTACAGCGGAAAGAACACTCCTCAAGCGATGTCGCAGATATTGCCTAATCGTGTCCAGAAAATATATTACTATTTATAACGGTTTGAGCTGCTTGTAACTTTTATCCTTTCAGGACCATCATTCGCTTGATTCACATCCCATGAGACAATAGTAGGAAGTGGTGCGAAGCGTAGGCTCAGCGATCGGTTGCGCCAGCGTTTAAGAAAAGACGCGCCAAGTTTATTAATGCAACACCTTTTACTAATCACGTGAAGAAATAAACATTACCTTCTAAAGCGGTAATCATTGGTGATAAGCTCCATAGCCGTGACGAAATCCTCAGCGGGCATCTAGAAAGCAAAGTAAAAAGCTAAAGCCATAGAATGTCAACTCAGCCTAACGCACCGTAAATCCTTCTGCAGCCAAAATAGACGGCATTGTGTAAGGGTCGTAGCGAGGGGAGGACCCATGAACACATAGTATTTTCGCGGATAAATGGTAGCAACGATTTTGCCATTCACTAAAGATTGAAAGAAAGATGGAAAGGTAATGGCTAGGTAGATGGCAAAAAAAGAATATGAGTGGTACCAACCGAGGCGAATTCCTCCAGGCGTCAAGAAGCCATTGATCGGATTCCATTTCGTGGTCGCAATTTACTGAGTCGCTGGTTCATGAATTCTTTTGACGCTCGACGATAGGTGCCTGAGCCAAGAGCGGACCGGGATCTGAAGAAGATGAAATGAGGGAAGAATGGGAAAATTTTGCTCTTTTTGGCAAGCTTCCTTCATTTGCTTATCTGGTCGAAAGGTGCACTAATTCATACTCCTAATATATTTCAGAGGAAATTGAAGCAATAATAACCATATTCCTCTAAACCGTTAATGATGTGATTGAACTTGGTTGCATTACGTACACTCTGTTTCATGCAGCCAGAAACCCACGTGGCACACGTGGCTAAATTCTCGATGAAAAGGTGACATCACGTGTGCTCAAAGATGTTCTTGAATCGATGCCACGTTAATGCCACGTCAATTTCTGCAATTGCACAATTTCTGGTCATTTGAAGGCGAGGGTATAGCAATTTCCACTGAATTCTGAAAACAAACGAACTCCGTGGAGTAGAAGGTTCAGCGAGTGAATTGTAACCGTTTTCGAATTGAATCACAGGGAGGCGGTCATATGGCGCGATCACATTGGCATGGTCACAAAAACCTCGCTTAGTCCCAAATCTCAGAAAAAGAGCGGATAGCTTCTGCTGGCCTGATGCCAAGGCAAGAGGAACGGAACAGAATGTGTTGCGCGGACGAGTTGTCCGGCCACAGCAGGATGTGGTAATTACGGCCTGTGCGCTCCAATGCCAATGGGATCGCGCCATATGACGCGGGGCCGATTAAGGCGAGTGCTTCGTAATCATGCATCGCATAAAGGAAAGCTATGAGCCAGAGAGTGTAAAAATTCAAGAGAGGGTGGCTTGTGGGTTAGCCACTTATTGTGTAGCAAAAGTCGGTGTGTATATGAGGATTACGGCCCTTGCCTTTTTTCGTAGATGAAGCCCGGCACACAGGGCGCGAGCGGCGCATGTGATGATTGGTCACTGTGCAACTCTCCAATTGTACGCTATGTCGCACATGTCACGTCGCACCCGTGTCAGACTGTGTGAACACTAAATGCTCAAGCAGGCTCATGCAATGGATTCAGCTTGAAAATGTTGGATAAGTGACTGGAAATGGGTTTCATTTAGTAAGTGGTGCAACAGTTGCTGCCGCCTACAAATATTCCAATTTTTGTAAGAGAAGAAAATCCCCCGAATGCGTGAGTCAGTTCACTTCCGCTTTTACTCCCTCCCGAGGTTCCTTCCATGCGAAAATGAGATTACTTTAGGCGACGTGGACTGTCACACCACATGCCCCTTACTGGATGAGACCTGGGGAACCTGAGAAGTTGCCTACAAAAGGCATATTTTCACAATAACGCTTGGACGAAAAGGCTGTTGGTTTACGAAGAAGGTCTATTTAGCCAGGAATAGGAGGAGGAATACAGTAGGCGTTCAAAGATTTTGATACTTACCAGCGATTACTTCTTTAGTAGGCAGAGGAGTTACGACCGGTCTTTCGTTGTCTTCGAGTTCAAGCCTCTCCTCTCTGCTGGCACTGTTCCGTCCATCATAGAGTTCCACACTTTCCGGCCGGATGTCACGGCCTCCGATCGAGGTGGACTGGTCGACCACCGGTGATGTCATCGATATTTCATCGAATCCAACCCAACTTGATGGCCGGCCATTGATCTGCTCCGCTTTAGAAAGCGGGTCCATGTGCGGGAACACTAAACTGGTTGAAAATTACTGTGAAATCAGATAAGAAAACGAAAAACATCGCAGGTGTTGAGAGGAAAGCGACCTATCGGTCAATGCTGGTCCACGGCTAGGCGCGCGACCAAAGCAAACACGACGAGTCCATTCGTCAATATAAGGAAAAACGACGTACTTCCGGCATCGCCAGTACAAGTGAATGAAACAGGCATGTTGCGATCGGAGCGAAGAAAACAAGGGAACACTTCTGGAGCGGTCGATAAGAAGAGCGTAAAAAAGGGCTATCACCAAGGCAACAAAACGACACACAAACACCCAACCCTGACGCAATTGCGATCGGTTACTAGTAATACTGCCCATTTCGAATGAACTAGGTCATTTAGAAAGCGCCTTGATGATGTCACAATTCAATAAGTCATATGAAATTCAAGTGAACACGTGCTGGTAGCCATACAGTCCACGCACGCGCTCGATATCTCCCTTGGTCGCGCGATATCGATCGCGTTCCACATTCGCACAGCTACGAAATGCCTCAGGTGAACAGGTAACCATCCAGTTTTGATTGTTACTGGAAGCATGAGATAGAGTTTGAGCAACGGGAATAGGCATAAAGTCACGGGACAGACAGCGGAAAGAAAAGTTTGGTTTGGACCCGTCGCATGACTAACTCAGCCCCACCCACCATCGAACACCTTTCCCATGTGTTTTTGCACGTACGTGAAAGGAGTACGAATGCGCATAGGTGTCGACAGTTTTAATTGAGAATTCAGCTTGAATGTCCTTCCACGGAACTTCTAGAGCACTTCTGTAGATCGCTATGCTAGTACTGTATCGCAAAAAGGCGTACCAACGGGACCAAAACCATCACCTCCAGTAATCCTTTCCACGCGGTGGTGGGTGTGAGTGGGTCGAAACTTCGAAGTTAGATCACCTATGGCGCTACTACAAGTACCACGCGGGGCCGGCTCGGTTAGGCTTAGCGTCGTGGCGCTGTAGCGTTAGTAAAATTTTACAAAAAGTACCAATTGTAGAGCTGACTCAGGTTCGAAAACGACCTCGCAAGGTGCTCCTTTTTGTAAGGCACTGCTTCGGTTTAAGCTATCTACAGAACTGCCCTTTCTAGCGATGGGGAGGGGGGGGGGGGGAGATTTGAAAGCAGCTGAACAGAGATTGGGTGTGACGTTGGGTAGCGTTTCTTGCCTATACCGAACAAGTTAACAGCGATCATACTTGGACGCTGCGACACAGTCTAGTGATTACTGCATTAATGGACTAAATGTTTTGACACTTCGTGTGGTACCATAAGCAAATTAGCTTTGGCGGGATAAAGACGCAGTTTGTGCTTTGCCACGTGCTATTATGATTTACTGAAGGGAATAGAAAATGTAGCCCTAGCCCAAGCCCAGTAATCGCGATTGCGCATCTGTCAGCCGCTACTCGCTGCATGACATCATTAGTTGCTGTGGGCTAATCGTGGATGTCAGTAAAAAACATGCTCGATCATGCCTACTCACGGTCCACCTGCGCCTGCGAAATCAAAATTGATACTACCTTTCGGAGGGATCGGTACGACCCCCCCCATATTAACTATTATGTCTTTCACATAATTTAATGCTCATCAATGATGCAGTCAGTCAACATGGAGAAGTGGTGGACCGTGGTCAATCCGCGCGCTCTGTCTCGCTCAGAGGAGGAAATCGAGGCAAATGAAGTTTTATTCATTAAATAGAAGGAATTTCAAATTTTTGCGTAAACCAATACATGATTTTAATCAAGAATTTCTACTTTCAGAAACTACTATCAAGTTTTCTCTCTATCTCTCGATTCAATTCTTCTTTATTTGATAATCTGAAAAACTAAACCTTGTAGCAATTACGCTACAATACAATTGAGAAAGAAACCCCTCCATTCAGAAGGTTATATTTTTCTTCAGAAGCGGTCTCATGAAACCGGACACCAAAATTTTAAAAATTCAAATAGTTTTCTTCCTAAAAAGTATTTGAAATGTTGCGGATGTTCAATATTTCAAAAAATCGTCCCGTTGTTCCGTTTTTTGTGCACACGCGAGTTTTCGACATTCAAACATTCATAACTTTCTTCATAATCAACTTTTTGCAATGTCTAAGGCTAATTAGAAACTAGAAGATTAGAGCTTTCGAATAAGTGCTGAAACTTTTTTAAAAATCACTCGCTCAAAAAATAGTCCCGTTGTTCCGTTTTTTCCTTGACTTTTTTCAAGCCATTTTCCTGGACCGCGACTTTGCAATCTTCAAAGGCCCATAACTTCCTTCAAAATTCATGTGATGAGAAGCGGTAAAGACTGTTAGAATCTACGCGAAGAGTACTTCATAAAAAGTGTAAAATTTCCCTGAAATTCTTTCTTCTGCCTCAATTTTCCTAAGGGGTTTCTAGAACTCAATTCAGCAAATTCGCTACACTTTGTTCCGCTTAGATTTGATTTGAAAGCATCAAAATTCTCTTCAGAAGTTTGTCTGCTTCACGGCCGCTGACAGAGAAGGCGTTTTTGTGGGAAAACGCCTGCTCGGGTATACGCCGTGCACCTGTCTGTGGCAGAAGTCGCATTTGAAAGTCCTCCATTTTCCTGAAGAAGGTGTTAGTATCGTGATTGAGTTGCATTGTACTGTTATATGGTACTCTTGTTTCACTTCCCCATGAACTGCTCTACACTTTGTTCTCCTTGGGATTTCAGGAATGTTCGATCATCGAAGACAGACCATGTTTTTGCACTGTAACAAAGTTTTTGGCTATTGTAATCTTGATCTATGCTGTCGAGCGAAAGCGCCGTCCGTTTATAATAATGGCTGATAGTGAGACTTATAATGCTCTGCATGCTCTAATGCTCCCATGGAGCTCTTTCTCTGTGTGACTCTCCGACAGCTGCACGGTGCAGAGCTCCTGGAGAACATTAGAGCGTGAAAGTGCACTGCGGACACTGCACTTTTCAAGCCCGTCTTGCCCGCCTCTCTGGGATACGACTCCCTCATTCGCGAATACGGGACCCCTTCGTTGTTTCTTTGCGCGACAGGCGGTTGACCCTGTGCCTACTACTCATGTGGTTCTCAACGCTAAGAACAAGTCTCTCTTGTCTCTTCATATCCCCTATAAACTACTAAGCTACTCAGCGCCCTGATCACGAAAATGAGTATCATTTGGAACTTCGTGCGCAAACACAGTAAAGAAGTTAAACGGGGGGGGGTGGGGGGGGGGGGGGGGGGGGGGGGGGGGGGGGGGGGGGGGGGGGGGGGGGGGGGGGGGGGGGGGGGGGGGGGGGGGGGGGGGGGGGGGGGGGGGGGGGGGGGGGGGGGGGGGG